TGCGTGCCAGTGAGATTCGACTGCTTGAATGCATCATTGATAAATAAAAATTGAGCATCCAAGAATGTGGCACTAATGCAGACACTCAGCCACTAAAAGTTTTCTTTGTGTAAATTGTAAAAGATATTATTATTATTTTCCGCACAGCAGTGTTCTGCCGAGTTTTCTCCAAGCATATCAAAGCGCGCCGTATTGCTTTTAAAACCCTTAACTCAAGACACATTTGTAATAAACGTACAACAACAAGCATGCGCATTTCGTGACAATTCGGCAAACTTCGACCTTTCCATTTCTCGTGTCCTCAATGCAAGATGCTACTGTTCCACCGAGATAAGTGCGACTCGTACGCGTGGAAATTGCGCTCGCTCTACCGCGGTCAAACTCACCACTTGCGGGTTATTTCGCCGACACCAAATTGGCCGTTACATCGGGACACAGTGGAACCCCACTTCCACACGTCAACGCGCACACTGCACAACCTCGAGCCCCACGTAGCGCCCACACAATACGCAGCAAATGACAGCGATGAGCCGAGCATATTCACAAAGCCAATCGTCATCGGGGAGCCGATGGAGTGGGCCCCAGACACAAACCACAACCATCAGCTTTGTGCTTGCACTTATCGCACTCGAGGTGGAGGAAGGGGGTTGCCTCTGTCATTCCAGAGTAAGGAACCACGGCAAGTATAATGACTTCATTACAGCACCGACTGATTGGCTAAATTGAGTAGGCAAATTGGCGCGCGAGCGACAGGCAATGCCTTTGTCTGGTTGCGAAATCTGCCAGCCATCAACATCGCAAGCCAGCCTTGACCTGGGACCAGGCCGCACTCGAGGTCTGGCCATCTCACCCCCCTCACCTCCACCACTTTTCCTTGAAACACGGCAGACCTGTCTGTCACGGCGGAGGGGTGTGCGAAGCCGACCGCACGCGAGTGTGTCACGTTCGCGACGCTGGAGAGGAAGAAAGCAAACTCGTGCACGCATTTTTCACCCATAGCGTGTTATGGCACGCTAATTCAATGGTCCCGCGGCACGAGGAGGCAACGCGTCGTTAAAATAATAATAACACGGTGTCACGGACGGAGGGAGGCCGTGGATCAAACTTTCACTCTTTCTGTGGCGGCGAGGAATGGCCTGATCGTGTGCAGGCAGTTACCACGACTTGTTTTTAAACAATTTCAACAAAAAACTTCGTCAGAACTTTATTGAGGAAGGCATGTTCGCTCTGGAGATATAATGAGCCAATTTCGCCCAATGTGTGTTTGCAAGGGAGACTTGGTGAAGTGTAAATAGAGCCACCCTGGTATTGTTTTGTATTATGATCTAATCGTGAGGAGTATGTTCGCGTTCTGCACTTGATATTCGGTGCCAGCAAACGACGAGCTACATTAGCTAAATGCAGCAGAGCACTCGCGCGTCCACCAGTGCCAGATGAAGCCCAGAGAGGGCCAGCTCTCGATGAAACTGTGTCAACGCTCTCTTTTCAGGTGCGTCCTTTGAGCGTTAGTCAAGAATGTGTTGTAAATGGATGTCCAGGTACTACTCTGTTACTGGTAGGAACCTCCTGGTTCCACCAGCCCACAGGGGATTATTGCGTCTGTCCGTCGTGCATCCAAAAATGGGAGGGGTGGGGCTGGGTGGAGAGGGGAGGGTGGAGAGGGGCTGGGTGGGAAGGGTAGGGAGGGGCTGGGTGGGGAGGGGAGGGTGGGGAGGGGCTGGGTGGGCAGGGTGGAGCTGGGTGGGGGGTGGGAGGGGTGGGGCTGGGTGGGGAGGTGTGGGGTTGGGTGGGGAGGGGCTGGTCACCCCGTGGTGCCCTTATAAAACTCAACGTTTAACCTACTCACGCCGGCTTGTGCCCGCCCTCACGGTCGGCCATATTTGCGGAATACACCACGCCGCCGTTGACCCTGGCCATTGACCGAGCAACCCAACGTTCCTACCAGCTCCCTCCGCAGAAATGTGTTAAATCTGCGAGGGAGTTCAGGTGGCCGGGTGGCTCCCGTATCAAACTGCTGAGCTGGCACTGTTTATATCCTACGTGCAAATCCGAGGAGCCGCCCCTTACTAAGCCACACTGTCAAGTGTGGTTCGTTGATGGTTTCAGCCTGGTCACAAATGACCACGTAATAGATAAATACAATTTACATTTGTTTTCTCACTTAATTTAGTTAAGCTCAAGCTTTGGAAATTAAAAACGTTGGCTTCACCGTTGTGCCATTAACGTTTTCCTCTGCAGCAGGACAAATGGCAATATATATGTAGCGGTGGAGTGCGGACAGGGGGTCATTTGTAGACATTTCAGAAGCAGTTTTGCGATGTCTCCTTCCGCGGGCCATTTTCTATCACGCGGTGATGCACTAGTCCACGAGAGCTGTGAAAAGATTCTTTGTCTCATGCCAAGAGCACGATTGGAAAAAAAACAATTGGAATACAATTGGGGAGAGACCAAAACAATGTAAAACAAAAAGGTTACGGCAAAAACGATAGGCACGTAATATCTCCATTCATTTTTCTGTGATTAGATGGCCATTTGGTCATAACGTCTAATCCTCGTTGTTGTGTAATCGATGCAAATGTGGTGATGAACCCTCTCATGCCAAAGGCAGCGACGGACCAGCCGTGCCGACATCCACTTGAACGAAGACGAGCACTGTGCACATCGTCAAGGGAAGCCTGAATCATAACGCCACATTTACGCCGACCGCAATCACGTAACAACAACGAGGTCAATGATTTCAGAAGGATTCTGGGGGCCCTGGAGAGGGAAAAACGAGACCAAAGGAAGGAGGCGTTTCTGTTTATTCACCGGCATGCGGAGTTTCCAGTAGAAACCAGCTGCATTTTCACCAGACCCTGGTGAATATTGGCCGACGCTGACGCTTGTGTGTTGGCCAATAATCACGGATAGGAATGTCTCTATCAGCGTATTGGCAGGGCTTTAAGTGAACAGAGGCCCCCGCCTTTCATTCTTTGCTCGTATTTCTCATGAGATAACAAAAATATTAACGTTTGGAAAAAAAACAAATGAATGAATTCCACTTCGTAACACGCACGTAAGTGTGCACGTACTTTGAGGACAGGGCTTGCCATGAAACGCTGAGAAAGTATGTGAAAAGTATTACTTTCAATTGTAATAATACATTGCTCTTACATTATCAATGTAAGAACAAAGCATTGCCAATGTAAGAACAATGCATTGTCAATTTAAGAACAATGCATTGTCAATGTAAGAACAATGGATGTTAACTTCTCAATGTTTTCTTCGAGTTGTGCCATGTGCTCATTACGCCCCGACGTTAATTCTCCACGTGCTGCGAGCTGCTTCAGGAACTCCCAGCGCGTGGCTGCAAAACGTCGGGCATCATCATCAAACACGTGGGGAAGCCATCGAACGCATCACGTGCGTTACGTTCGTTACCACCATTTCTACGTGCGATATAGTAACGTATCACGGGCGTTACACTGTCGCACGTACAAATGCATACAACGTAGTTACGTACAAACGACTGCAATAGACAGTAACGGAAGGTCACCCCGTCAAGGAAAATCACGTTACAAGTTACCAAACACGCTCAGCGCACAGGGTATCCACCTGTCCCGCTTACTTGAGCCCCACAGCTAAGTTTAACGTAAATGCCCTCCATTCCAAAGAAGCAAGCAGACTTAGTAAACCGTTGACTGAGTTATTGTTGTTATGTTCGGCCGTAGTTCTTTCATTTCACCCGATCACCTTGAGACGACAAAAAAAAGATCACAATTTTTACCAAACCCTTTAAAAGCCTCGAGGGTGAGCAGGTGCTACGCTGGTGGCGCGCTGATGGACAGATGCCTCTCACCGCTCTCCGCCCCCTTTGGGGCTTCCAAAAGCCGTGGAGGGTAAATCGTTTGTTTACATTTGGGCTCTCTCTTTTTGTAGTTGTTATTGTTGTTGTTGGTGCACTCGAACATGAAATGGCAGTCTTTAGCCAACAGAATTCGACTGTCGCCCGATAATTCACGCGAGCAATTTAAAATAAACACTCTTACGAGCTCGATTTATTTATTTGGCTATTTGTACTCGTGTAAGGGCTTTGGTAATTCTAACCCTGTGTGAGATTTACGGCTTGGCTGGATCAGGCAAACACAAAACCCAGCACGAAGTTATTTATCCAACGAGACGCATTCGTTTCTTTCCCCTAATATTTTGATTGTAAACTCTTGTACTGAGATCCACCAATTATTTATCTTGGTAGCTGTAATTGCCTATATTGTCAAATGGGAGAATAACATGGAGATTATTTTGTAATGGTAGTGAAAAGCTGAAACTAAAACTGCACATTCATTTGGAGCTGTTGAATATACTCATCCATGACTTCACGTGGAAATTTTCTTTTTTGGCCGTCACTTTAAAATCATTTAATTATTCCAGATTCTTGCCGTGAATTAGGCACAGGCTTATTTTTGGAACCAAACGAGCTTGAAGGATGAGACAAGGTAGAACGGACGAGTCGTGTAAGTCTACAGCGCCAAGGCCCCACGCCACAGTGATCACACCGCACACAAAGACGTTCACAGCATCGTGGCCGTCTGGAACGCTTTTCCTACTGACACTAGGAAGCCACTGGGAGCTATACACTTTTAAATCTAGATTGAAAACACATTTCTTTACAACTGCTTTTCTGTGTTTCGTTTGCTGTCCTTCGCCCGCCACACCTCCGATTAACACGGTTGGCTACGTACGGTGCAAAAGAAGTTAAACATGCACGCACGTACGCACGCATACACACACAGCGATGAAGTCACGCGAAATCCGGCCGTGGCCTTCGCACGGCACGAGCGCACAAACTGGGCGAGACGCGAAGGAGCACTCTCTCGCATTCCGCACGGTGCAGGCGCCACAACGGGCCTGCGGCGCGCGGCTGTGAGCGCATTTAAATTCCAGCGAGAGGTGCCCGTGCCCATCCCGGACGGCGCGAGGGGCGTGGGGGGGGGGCGCGGGTGGCGCCTGCCCGACCGTACCTTGCACGTGCCCTCCATGCAGACGTCGTCCGAGCCGGGCTCGCACGGCGTGCCGTCGGTGGCCCGCTCCGCGTGACGCACGTAGAAGCGGTAGCCCACGGCACGGCAGTTCAGCTCGCACTTCTGCTCTTCCCGCACTGCGTCGTCGCGCGCGCGGCAGGCAACGGACACGGGAGGGGGAGCAGGAGCAGAACAATTAGCGATGAGCGTCGGTGCCACACACCACCGCTGCCACCAACCGAGCGTTTACATTTGCTGTTTGTGCTTTAGCGTCGAGCCAAGCCCCGGTGGCGGGTGTCCGTGATCGTGTGCTTTTGGGGGCGAGGATTGATGGATCATGAAAATGTGTAAAACACCAAAACACAGGAGATGGCAGCACAGCAAGTGGATTGAATCCATCTATGGACACCTTCGAGTGTCATCTTCTCTTCTGCACGGTGCACTCTGGCTTCCTCCCACATAGCAAACATTCATCAATGGAATTGGCCGACCATCCCAATAAAAGAACCTCCGCAAAAGAGGAGGTTGCCGCACTTAAAACACATTTCGTGGCCCGTGTGCGTGGATGGTCAATTCGTGCGCGCAAAAAAATGTCACGTCTCGTTTTTTTGGGGTTCCACCGAGTCGCGGCTCTCCCGTGTTTACGGAACGATTCGCGCTCGGGAGAAGGGGGGAACAGCGCTGCCTCTGCCGGCACGCAGGGGCATGCCAGCAATTGGGGGGGGGGGGGGTCACCCTAGAAACCCCGCCACTAATAACCTGGCCTCACGCTCGCCACGGACCCCCGGGGGGGGACAACAGGGGCCCTTGGACTCGTGCCAGGCGTCAAGTAACGTGAAACAAAACGCCCAGGGCCACGCCGAGATTTTTATAAATCCTTGTCAAAGAAACGCTCTATTCGGATATAAACCCAGCCCCTGCTCTCCAATCGCTACCCCCCCCCCCACCTCCTCCTAGACAAACACCCCCCCCCCCCCCGCCGGCACACACTAACGCTCCACTACTCCCAAATTCGCACCTCAATGGGGAATGATCTCCCGTTTTCACGGTGCACTTTTCTATTTGTACGTGGAGCCCCTTTGTCATTCCACCGCTAGAAGAAGGCCTCCCCAGGACCATACTTCACCACGCCGGTGAGTGAAAGTTGGCAAAGGCGTTTCTATATATATGTGTGTGTGTGTGCAATATTCCTTAAAAAGTAATATTTTAGACCACTTGTGAATCCACTGTTGGGTGAAGGCCTCCCCAGGCCGTGTCGGACGTGAGGGCTGTCTGACCATACTTCACCACGCTGGTCAGTGTGGGTTGGTGAAGTAGGGGAGCCCAGACCGGTTCACACATCACACGCCACCGATGTTAGCCACGGCCGGGAATTGAACTCAGGTAGGCCACGTTTATAATGCGCCGCGCGAACCACTTCGACACCGTTTCCCCATACTCTCTTATTTTTAGAACATATATAAGTTACAGAGGCAGGGCTATAAGGTGACATTTATTACGTTTCTTTGCACACAATAGCCTAACGTTTAACAGACTATTTGGAATGGATAAAACTACATAGGTGATAAAATGCTTGGGAAAACAAGCACCATTTATCTTGGCCCGTGCCACCGGCCTGAAAGGACCAGACACATTTCCAGCAGTGAGCATCCCTCACACCACAGCTTCTAAATATCTGGCTCACCGTGCTCATCTGATTTTGTGATACGAGCATTTCCCTGAATTAATGACGGCTCGTAATCAGCATTTGCTTAATGTCGCAATTTGTCGCCAAATCGCTCAATGCGCTTGGCAATAAGGTTTGATAGGGCAGTGATCACGCGGTAAATCAAGCTCGTTTGTTACAACCTGGCATTGTGTTTAGCCAGATGGTGCACATTCCATATTCAGAAATAATGTTCGTTCGACAGAAAACAGGTCAGCTCGGATGAGAGCTGAGAAGCACGTGGCCCTGCATTAAACTCTTAGTCGATGTGTTGTGGTTTATGTCACACGTAAAACTGCCATAGTTTATGTCACAAGGACAATTTTTTTTGTAATCCTCGGTAGAAACGTTTTATGAAAATTGCCCACAACTTATTGTCCAATGAGGATGTGAAAGCCAAGCATGGACTCCAGCAGAAATAGAACAGCCGTACCCACCCACCATCGCTGCCATCAACACACGCCCATGTAATTGTGCATATAATATCGCAGTCGTCACACCAAGGAAACTCCGGAACACTGTGCTTAAGCACAGAACTGATTCCCTATTTTTGGATTTTAAACAGATTGCTAAATATTTTATGTTTTTACCAGGTGAGGCCCACTGAGATTTGTTTTTTGTCAGAGGCAAACTGGCCACAAATGATAGCTCAACAAAGTGGTCTTTCTTAATTTGGAGCTTTCGTGACTGCAGGAATTACTATTTGGTTCTTTCGGTAAAGTCACGTATAAAGATCAAATAATAAATTAAATAATAGCATACGACGTTTCGATTGCAACACAAGCAATCATCATCAGGTATAAATGAAATAGCAACAACAATCTAACCAGAAAACTATAGAAAGACATATAAGCAGACAGATATCACCAAGATACATAGAGAGAGAGTAACACATAGGCACCGAAAGAACCAAAGAGTAAAGTGGTCTTTATCTTGTGGAAACTTATAGCAGCCAAATATTCTAAATGGATGTTTCTAAATGCGGAGGCAAAAACCGGAGGAACCGGAGAAAAATCCACGTGACCATGGGGAGAGAGACATTCAAACTCTAAATATACAGGTGTCAGGGTCGGGATCGAACCCACGACCTCCTGTATACCAGGCGAGGGAGTTGACGTCTCGCCACTGCGGCGCCCCTAAACAGATGCTTGAGCTCTCTGCAAAATCTGGCATAATTTATCGTTGTTGTCTCAACACCTGCAGCGAATAAGATCCGCTTTTGCATCGCGTACTTCCCTTCCTGCTCGCTTCCTTACCGCACGTGTACGTCGCACATTAAAGTGCGCTCCTATCGTAATCCCATACATTCGTCGGTGTTTCATTTCAGCCGGCTCACAGGGTGCGTTTTAGTCGTAACGCGTTCTTGCCAGAGAAGAACGTGGGTACATTCCTGGGACATCAATACTCTTCGCTTTAAAATGTCACTCTTAAATATTTGTTCAACTGTTTTTTTTTGCCTTATAAAACACAAAGTTCCCTCTTTTTAAACGTATTTCAATGTTCCAATCGGCTCTTCACATGTAGACCAATGATTAATAACGCTCGCCACAATAGTCACTTAACGCTGCTATACAATGGGCAATATACGGCAGGCTGATTGTTTCAGGCAATGAGCCCTGCCTTGCAATGTCACCTTTGAAGAAGGCCATTGGTCAACAAAGTTACTGATTGCCCAAAATATAATTCCGTTGCAAGGCACGTTTTCGGTATATGACGAGTGCTTTTTTTCTTGCTATGTTCTCGACACAATTCCACCCGGAGCATGCACTGCCCGTTAAGCAGTAAACTTCCAAAGGCCTTGTATCAGAAAACACAAATGATCACACAATTGTGTCTCCATTTGCAAATGCCCTTTGCACTCTCTTTGGAAGAAAAAAAAACGCTTGAAAAAGGAAAATCCAGAACACCGCTTTCTACACGTTTGCACATTCTGTTCGGATTAGCCAACCTAACTACTGTAATTTCAAACCCTCGGGTTAAATCAGCTTAGAACACATTTCAAATATTTCGAGGGCACAACAACTAAATGTGTTGAGACGGTTTAAAAAAAAGAAAAACAGCAGTAGCTTCACTTGGGGAGTGAGTGGGGAGTACATCAGGAGACCGTTTGTGCGATATTACTCATCAATCGACATGGGAATTCCACAAAATACCAGCATGCACGCACACACGCACGCATGCACAAGGTCAAATATTTTAGCATGAGAAAGTGACCATACAAACGACATTAGCTGCTTCGGTGATGGATTTTTTTTCTTTCTGTAAGTCCACTAAGCCTAAAAATGCACAGGCCTCTCAGTCGGGAGGGCACGTGGAGTGCCTAGAAAAGCTTGCACAGTAAAGCATACTTATTAAAACTTCCATGTTTTTTTTGTTCTTGAACGACATAGAGCTGCTGCTGCTGGTGGTGGTGTTTTCATTGTGCCACCATTGCCCATTGGCAACAGTTTAGAGGGGACAGTGAGACGCGTCGGAAAGCTACGGTCGTGCGGCAACGGGTGAGAGCAAGAGTTAGACGCGATGTCAGTGTTAGGGTGAGCGATGATGTCAGGATTAGTGTGAGCTAGGATTTAGAATGAGGGTTATAGTCAGGGTGTCATGGTCAGTGCATACAGGTGCAGCCCTGCACTTTTTTGTTCGTGCCACTTCTGGAGAAAGGGCCTCCACCAGGAGGACGCTCGAACTCCCCTGGATAGAGCCCCAATTGAGGGCATGTGGCCTCCTCGTCCAAGCTGGCCAGATGAGAGATGGGTGTACCCTCACTAGGTTATGCTGAAGTTTACGCTCCGTTACAATGGAATTGAGTTTGCTTTATAAAGCACTTAAAGGAGAACACGTGAAGGTGGTGTGCACAAAATATGTCCATTACGAGATCGTAAATTAAGGGGGCCGTTACAGGAAGAGGAGGCAATAATGGAGGGGAAAGGATTTGACTACACGGTAGCAGCGGGTCATGAGATGCAGAGGAAAGTTTTGAATCCTAAACTTGAAAACAGGCACGAAATCAGGCTGTACGGATGGGCCCGAGGTAGCTCCAGACAATGCGGGCAGCAGCAGCAGCAGCAGCAGCAGCAGAAGAAGTGGTCAGACTGTGTCAGGGGAGCACCTGAAGGGGCCGGGCGTGAGACTGGTACAAGGAGAGGCAGCTGCAAGCAAAGGGCGGATATTAAACAGATTTATATGGTAACCTGACCCAAAATAATAGGAATAATATGATGCAAAATGTAGCTCATTATTAATTCACTGCCTCCCCACGCCTTTAGGTTATGGGAGTTGGGAGATCATCCTATCAACTGCCGTACCGACAGAACGAACCTGACGCGGTGACCTCTGGGCCATGCGTCCAGCGTGGCTAGCCACTACACCGCCTCAGTAGGAATAAGGGTTGGGGGGAATCAAGCGGACGTCCACGGATCAAGCCTTTCTGGAGCG